TTTTTATGGACATAGTTTGGAGTTGTTAATACAAAATAAAACAAGGAAAACAATTTTAAAAATATCATTTTCGAAAATTACACACACAGAATACATGTAAAAAATTAAACAAAAAACATTGTATTTATGAACATAATAATATATTAGTATTTTGGTACATTTGGGAGATTTTCAGTAAAACTTACAATTTATTTAAACAAATGTTAATCATTTATATGGACATACTTGAGAGTTGTTAATACAAAATAACACAATGAAATATATATATAAACATTATATGTATTTTAAGGAAGACCTTTTTGTAGCTGCTTTTAAATATTGAAATTCATTTTTCAAATCATGTTTAAATGCCACAGAACGTGGAGAAACTTCGACAAATCAACGCACGCATAAATAAAACTTACCGATAATCAAAATGTTTTGTATAAATACAAAAATCCAGCCTTTTATTTTTGCACCAAATAACATTGAGCTGTCTGATATTATTCATCTGTGGATCTTTACTGCCACCTGCTGTAAAAACAGAAGACTTGATTGCTGTACAGGACGGATTTTTAAAAGAGTTTTATTTTCCGCATAAAGATATGATATTCTTACGTTGTTTTATCATCTTTTGAGCTCGAGTAAATTGTTCGTGAGTGTGATCGAGTATTTCTGATCAGGCGGAATCCAGCGGCAGCTCGGCCGTCTCGGGTATGACGTCACCGGGGTCTTTCCTCGTGCGGCTCCGTGAGGGTCACGCAGTCGGGCTGATCTCTGCTGTTATTATTATTATTATTGTTGTTTCTCGGCTCTGATATCGTGTCTCTCGTCATGATGGGCGGCAGCAGCAGCAGGATCGCGGCTGGTTTGGGCGCGGCGCTGTTCGTCGGTTACTGCATTTATTTCGACAGAAAGAGACGGAGTGACCCGAACTACAAGAACAAACTACGAGAACGTGAGAGCACCTGTCTGTCCATCTACATATCCGTCTGTCTGGCTATCTATTAATCTATCCATCCATCTGTCCATCCGTCTATCCATCTATCTATCCATCTGTCTATCTATCTATATGTCTGTCTATCTATATGTCTATCTATCTATCTATCTATCTATCTATCCATCCATCCATCTGTCTATCTATCTATATGTCTGTCTATCTATCCATCCATCCATCTATCCATCCGTCTATCTATCCGTCTGTTTATCCATCCATCCATCTGTCTATCTATCTATCTATCCGTCCGTCCATCCATTCATCCATCCGTCTATCCATCCATCCATCCATCCATCCGTCTATCCATCCG